GAAGTCCAGCACATTAAAGGCATTATGCAGCGCCTGCTCAGGGTCGCGGAATTCCGTCCTGCCAGGCGTATTAATCCTACTCGTCTTGGGGGATTTATCGTGCCAACTGCCTTTAATGTCACATACTGCGACTGCATGTCGTGAGTAGTGGGACAAGTGTACTTATTAATCGATTTGCCAGTGAAGAAAAGACTGGACTAAGCCGTCGAAAACTCCCCAAACAAGACCCGATTTGCTTCCAGATTTGTAGAATCATGCTGAGTTTAGAGATGCAGAGAAGCTCTACAAGAGACAAGCCCGAGTGAGAGCTTCGCAGGTCAGGGGAAGAGGGAGGAGGGGGTAACGCCACGCGGTCTTGTGTTCATGGGTCGGTACTCAGAAAAGAAGGGAGTTCTGGGCATTGCGAGCCCTTATCTCCTTTGGCACGCATATTTGAATAGCGTACACTGAGCCGCTGAGGATCTGCGTCCTCAAACCCATCCCATCCCATCACCCGAAAGGACCCCACATCTTGGGTAGACAGGCAATCCCCCAGTCCCCCTTGTCCTTCAAGGGCACGGTCTACCCCTGAGAAAAAGCAGGGGAACCATTGAAGACGCTCTCAATGTGGAGTCAGGGCATAGCATGGTTGGAAGAACCCACTAGGAGTCGTACTTCGACGGTGGAACGAGGCGGTGGAACGGGACCACTTCACCTTTCCCGGTGCTGGAACTCCTTGTTACGGTGGATTCCAATGTAAAAGAGAGGCGGTACATTTTGGTTCGCTGCGGGCGAAGGGCGTGTAAGGCTGTCGGTATGGATTTGGCAAGGCGCCAAGCCCGTTTTCTGCCAGTTTTCGAAGCGGGCATGCGACAAAATTCGGAACGAGTGATACGAACGATGTGATGCAGTCCTGTCGCTGACTCATTTCAACAAGATAGGGGCTTGGCACCAGATCCATTCCGCGTAAACTCCTCCTCATCCGCAGCGAATCAGACCGTGTTTTGTTGGGGGAGGCTATACAAGAGGCGAGAGAGCAAAGGAATAAGCAAATTGGCAGTTATCAATACGGGACAGAATTGTAACATCAGCGATTAGGGAGAGCCAGTTAAGCAAGTTTGCACTAATGCCCCCTTCCTCACAGCTTTCTGACACCAATATGGCACAAGGGCACCCACTGTGAGCTACACCACGCCACAAGACCTCGGCTCGTATAGAAACTCGCAAAATGAGCCTTATTGATGCGCCTAACGCTAAGTTTGATAGCAGGTTAGCTGCGCGCGTCTCTACTGTCTATTCCAGAAGCCAGCTAACTGTCTATAGCAAAAGTCAACCAAATTCAGTCGAGGCCGATGGTATGGAGACTGACCTTCATCACTTCACGTTCTTGACGCGAACGCCTCAAATCTCGAACCAAATTCTGCTTCTCGTCCGCCTCCCATCCTAACATAACAGTCTCGAGAATACTCTGAAATATACTAGTAACCATACAACGTTAAATACGCTGAACAAGAAGGGGGACAACCAGAGGCAAGCTTTGCAAGTGCCTCACGAAAGATATAAGTAACGCCACGGCAAGGTTAGTTCGTTTTCACAAAACCATGCCGTACTATAGTGAATCTATGGTGGTATCAGGATTCTTGTGGTGTATGCACAGAGAAAAAAATGCCTTCACTCTCACTAATTCGTAGATTCAGATAGACTCAGCTACACTCTGAAATAATGATTCATCACAATAACAGTGATGATATAGAACACTCCAACCTATAATATTCCCATACAATTTTAGGCACTATTTAGCCTTTACTGTTCGGTGTTCAATATTCAGGCGTAATTTCGAAAGGATTTCACCAGTGATGGTGTTAGAACCTTACAGGTGGTGTAGCCTCTGGGAAATGTCATATCCGCTTGGCACGAAAACACCAGACACTGGCGCTGCGGGCAGATTTTGGCGTAGCTTGCGACTGACGCATGCGACGGTCGTGATCGCGGAAACAGACTGTCCCTGGGAACGAAGTTTCGATGTGTTTCGTGACTTGAGGTGTCTCGGCACTGGCACACAGAGGTAGACGTTTTCGTTCCAAACAGACATGACATTCGGATTTGAGAGTCAAACTACAACTTCACATCCCAGAGGTAGGGAAGGCGTGGCTGCGCGCTTCATTTAAATATGGCGTGGGATTCTTTTTTGTGGGGTATTCCCATTTGATACAATCGCCATCTTCTCCTGTTGTGGACAAAGATATCCCTGTTCCTAAACGGTAGCGCTTGAGGTAAGCTTCTGATTTGACGTAATTGTCATGTCGAGTCAACCAGCTAAAAATGTTGGTCTGCGCTAGATGCCGCGACTTGAATCTCATAGACTATGCCCCGCCTCGTCTCTGCGCGTGGAAAGACCCTTGAAAAACCCTGCACACTTTCAGCTTCCGCAGACAGAGGCAGTACAAATGAGCTCCATAGGGCGAGGGTTGACGCGTAATTACGCTCATGCCTTGAATCTTAGAACTTTTGTTAACTTCATTCAGAATAGGTCCGAGGTTTTAATAACGGGTTCTCGGAAAGGTGGATTATGCCATAGCTTCAAACTGTAAGGCTAATAAAGGTGTTAAAAGCTGCTATTATCTGTGCTTAGCCATGCTCCACTTACCGAATGCAATTGTTCTTCGTCGTCGGTTGGAGTTTGACCAGGAATCGGTGATGTTGAAATGTCTCCAACCTTATCACACGTACTGCTCGAAGTACCCTCCATCGAATTGAGAATTTGTTCAAGATCCGATTTTACCTGACAACATTAGTGAACGTAAGGTAATAATTCGGTAGGTAAACAACATAAATCACAAGTAAATTCGCAGCTGGACTTGAAGTCTTCTATTTGGTCATTGATCACTTTCTCAGGGGTTTCATTTTCAAGGGTGTCAAAGAGGGGGGCACGCCATCGTTGTGATGATCACAATGGGGGGGGGGTCGTATTTGACCGCGAGGGAGGGGGTCGTATTTGGTCAGAGAAAATTTTTTTGATAGTTGATTTCTCTTGTTTCACGGACGCTATAAAGGGGAGGGGTCGTATTTGGTCGTTGTTGGGAGAGGGACTGCCAAAGATCTATACAACTACTATTTCCGATAGTTGAAAATGATAGTTAAATCCTGACGACCTCCCCCCCCCCCCCCCCCCTTCGACAGCAAAATCTTGGGGAAAACCAGAAATTTTTCGAGACGAAAATTTCGGAAAAACTGGTGGGAGGTTAGGGAAAATCTGAGAAATTTTCCTGTTTCACATTGGGTATATCCCTCCCCCCCGCTCGACGGAAAATTCTTGGCTGAAAAACTGGAAATTTTTCGGGAAAAAATGGAAAAAGTGGTAGGAAGTTGGGAAAATCTAGGAAAGTGGTAGGTAGCATGGGAGAGGGGGTCGTATTTGAGGATGGAATTAGGGGGGGGTCGTATTTTTCAGGAAATGATCACAACGCGATGGCGTGCCCTGGTGTCAGAGGCACCTACATACGGGACCCGACTTCGTCTCGAACGCCGCGGAATTTTCCTGGCTTTCCTTTTGCGTGGTTTTCATTTGTTCTTATTGATACGGAAGAAAACTTAGAACCAAGATGTAGTTCAATGAAGCAGGACTATCACACATAAGAGTTACAGGCACTAACGATGGCTGGGGGCGGGCGGTTACTACCACTGTCATTGGTGGAAGGAATGCGAGAAGGCGTCTAGCCACACAACACTCAGAACTTCCACCAGTGACGTTGGCAGTAACAGCCCGCCCCAAGCCATCGTGAACACTGCCTTTAACAGCGCAGTAGGAGTAATTCTTCCCAAAGTACCGCGCCGCAACTGCGCGCTCTCAACACACAGTTTACGGCAGTGCTGTTGTTAGTGACTGAGAATGCAATTCTAGTTTGTCTAGAACCGCTCTTAGATGACATTAAGGAAGCGTTCAGACTTCGCGACAGTAGCGCCTCGGTCGCGCGTTCGACGCGATCGATGCGCATGCTTTCGACTGCATCGATCGCGACGGAAGCGCTGCCGTCGCGAAGTCTGAACGCTGCCTCAACCAAATGAACATTTTTCGTACCACATTAAGATCATCAGCAAGTGTGGCGAAGGCTGGCGATAAATGACTCCGATCACGACCCATAACTGATGCAGTACGACGCAATGAATCACGAATTCGATCAAGTTCTCTGAAATTAAGTCCATTTACAAGGTCCAACATATCTTGAGTAATTAGTTTAGTTAAGCGCTACGCACTGATGGAATGCGCTACGTAACTGAGTGCTACGTATTTACAAGCAACACCATGCTTTACAACTAACTTGTCACGGCACCACCAGCCAATGC